TACCCTCTTCTATATAAACCACTGGGCTAACAGGCTATAAACAGAATCTGAAATCAATTAAGACAAAAATCTTTTGTCTGAGAGCAAAAGTCTGTTTGGCATCTCCATTGATGAATTCAATTCCATCTATGCATTCTCCATGCTAATATCAGGATGGTGTGACATATAGTAAGAGAGAACGTGTTAAAAAATAAATCACTGCTAAATGTTGAATTTTTATTGCTAAACAATTTTCTTTGTTATTTCAATACAAATGTTCCTGGGCTATTTTTACAGAATGAGGGACAAACTATTATGATGTTTATTTTCTTATAATTTGTCCTTCTGGATGGTTGTTAACAGATTTCTCAAACTGACTGTATTTCAAATACCTAAAGGGATTCCCAGAGGGCCCAAAGCTCCAAAATGGGTATGTAAAGGGCAGTATGGTCAAGTGAAGGAACAGTGACAATGACCCTGGGGTCCAGAGAGACCTCTTTCGCTAAGACGCTCTGGCAAATTGGGTGAACCCTGTAGCTTTACTGACCTCAGTTTCTTCATCTAGAAAGTGAAGCAGCTGGCATAGAGTAACATATAGAGTCTCTTCAAACTGTGAACCTTTAGAGTAAATATTGTCCTGAGAAACTCAACAGGAAAAGTATTTTATAAATTCTGAACTAAATCTAGGGAAATCACAACCTGTATAATTAACAAAGCTGAATCAAATACACATGTGAGCCTTTTAAATACACACATATTTTTTGGCAAAATATTTCTTTATCTAAGGATAAAAGAAGGAAGGAAACCTTATGTTGAGACAGAGCCAGCAGAGGGCGTTTAGTCCCCAAGCCTCTTGCTGAAGGAGACGTGGTCCAGGTCCCAGTAACAGAACAGTGTCCTTGGTTTGCAACTTGGGCTGCTCTACAAGGTTTTGTGAATGGCTGCTATGCTGCTCGCAATTATTCAAAGGGGTAAAGATATAAGAGTATTTTTAAAGAAACAGCTATACATTAGGATTTTAAGCAAGATACAATTTTTAAAAGAATGTATTGACACATTCTTTCATTGTGCGAAGTAAAGTACTAATTTACTGCAATATATTTTAGATAATTCTCACACAGTCTTTAAAAAATGTTTAAATGTTGTTCAATTTTAGATATTTGAAGAATCATAAAATACCTTTGGACACACTTCCCAAGAAGAAAAATCCAGAACAAACTGTATGCATGTGTGATATAATGAAAAAGTTTACCTTCTCTGAAAAAATATTAAGATTAAAAGGAACTGAGACTGGGCTTGGCTATCATCTTTCATATGTTGGGAGTCATTCCTAAACTCATTTGAGTGCATCAGTTCAGAGACAGAAATCAATCTAACTTCAATAAAGTATACATAAAAGCAAGTAAATCATCTAGTCATAGTAAAGAACCACTTTACAAAGATATATTTAAATGGAAAAATGATTATGAAAATGATTGCTCTGACGCTTTTGGAAAGTATAACTGGATGGTACGATTTTAGGCCCAGATATTGAGATACAACAGATTTGAAAAATTTGCAGTGACATTTGGAAAACTAATCCCATTACTTTTAAAGGCTTCAACCAGCATTAGGAATAAAAGGAAGTGTATTCATTTCCTCAAACTGCTATAACAAACCATCACAAACTGGATGGCTTAAAACAAAAGAAATTTATTGACTTACAATTCTCGAGGCTGGATGTCTGAAATCAAGGTGCCAGAAAGGGCATATTCTTTCTGAAACCTGTAAGGGAGAATCATTCTTTGCTGCTTCTAACTTCTGGTGTTTGCCAGCAATCGCCATGACTTGTAGATGCATCAGTTAATTTTTTTTCAATTTCAAAGTCCAAAGAAAGATAATTTCATATATAGGGTCAGAGAGTATTCTATAGATACCTTTCTTAACTGTGATGTAAATTACATATCTATTAATTGACCCAAAAGTGAATCAAAATTAGAAATTGAGGAACAAAGAATGCTTTGTGGACTTCTCTCTAGAACTTTCAATAGTTAAAGTTTCCAAACTATCATTAGAGACCTGAGGAGAATTGATGCTCAGGCCATGATTATACTCATTATGCAAAATTAATGGTGAATATAGATGCTTTGGTGTCTCCATTTACATTGCCATCTGTATACAACTAAAATAAAGCAATTTCAAAGTGGAAAATTATCCTTCACATTGAAATAATCCTATAATGGGCAAAAGAAATTTCTCTAGAAACTACCCTCTCTCACATCAAGGTGTACTACCAGATTCATTTATTTAATTAAATATGCTTGCAATTGTATTAAAAAAAATACTAGCCATGTTTGGGAAGGATACAAATACTTATCTTAGATGGGTGTTTCCTTTATTCTTCTTTTGGTTACTCTTTTTCCATGAAAAGTATATACATTGAAAAGTATAAAAAGTATACACATATACATGATACTTCAAAGACAGGAAAATCTTTTCTGAATTCAATACACGAAATCTATAATATATTTTATATTGTTTAAATAAATGAACTTTATACACTTCCCAAGTTTTTACACTGTTAAGTAAAATGTATAACCTTTGTGAAAATTTTCCTTTTAAGATGTTGGCTTAAGAGGGTACTTGGGTTCCATCACTGACTTTGCATCTCCCTCTTACCACTACTTGTGATCTTCCTAGAAGCCCTGAGTACCAGTGCTACAGAGGCAACCATTTCAAGACTAACTTAGTCAGCTTACAGGCTAGGACTCAGAGTTTATAAATGATCTGTAGAGCTGACTTCCTCAGATTTCATCAGGTTGCTTTGGGAAATGAAAAGACCTTGAAATGACCTTCCTCATCATACTCCCTCTTGACATTGCAAAGAAAAAATAAATACCCACAGAATACTGAAGCATGCTTATCATAACTAACAGAAGAAAACAACTTTTATAATTATGTACTTAATAACCCTTACAAAACTTTAATAATCAATGTTATAAATAAATTATTCGCACTAGGAACAAAATAATAGAGATTATTATAGCATCAGTTTGAATTAGCTAACAATGAGTCTGCTATCTACCTTGACATTTCTTGGATATTTTGAGAAGAATTATAGTCAAGCCCAGCCAAAACCACATGAGAAAGGTAAACATAGAGCCTGCCTTTAAGGAGATCTCTAAAGATAATTCTACAACCTTCAGAAACCCACTGACAATATTTAAAAAGTTTATGTGATGTACTTATGTTATAGAAAGGAAACTGATGAAAAACATCATTGTCTCTAGACTTAGGGAATTGGTCATATGGTGGTGGCAACAAGGACTGCCCTTTACGGAGCTCCATAAAGTTTACAAACTTTATTTTATTGAACCTGTTGTGTAAGTTTTATAAGGCAAATATAATTCAGAAAATACAATGTCACCAAATATTAAGAATTTAATAATTTAGTTAACATCCTCTAACACCATACAGAAAAATAAACTCAAAATGGATTAAAAACCTAAATGTGAAACTGGATACTATAAAACTCCTAGAGGAAACATAGGCAGAACACATAAATCGCAGCAATACCTTTTTGGATCCATCTCCTAGAGTAATCAAAATAAAAACAAAAATAAACAAATGGGATCTAATTAAACTTAAAAGCTTCTGTACAGCAAAGGAAGTCATAAACAGACAACCTACAGAATGGGAGAAAATATTTGCATACGATGCGACCTACAAGAGATCAATCTCTAAAGTATACAAACAGCTCAATATCAAAAAAAGAAACAACCCAATCAAAAAATAGGCACATCTAAACAGACATTTCTCCAAAGACGACATACAGATGGCCAAAAGGCACATGAAAAGATGTACAACATCGCCAATTATAAGACAAATGCAAATCAAAACTACAATGAGGTATCACCTCACGCCAGTCAGAATGACCATCACCAAAAACTCTACAAACAATAAATGCTAGAGAGTATGTGGAGAAAAAGGAACCATCCTACACTGTTGGTGAGAATGTAAATTGGTATAGCCACTATGGAAAACAGTATGAAGTTCCTTAAAAAGCTAAAAATAGAACTTCCATATGATCCGCAATCCCACTCCTAGGCATATATCCAGAGAAAACTATAACTCGAAAAGATACATGCACCCTAATCTTCACTGCAGCACTATTTACAATAGCCAAGGTATGGAAGCATCCTAAATGTCCACTGACAGAGGAATAGATAAAGAAGATGTGGTATATAAATACAGTGGAATTTTATTCAGCCATAAAAAGAATGAAATAATGCCTTTGCAGCAACATGGATGGACCTAGAGATTAACATACTAAGTGAAATAAGTCAAAGAAAGAAAAGAATGAAATAATGCCTTTGCAGCAACATGGATGGACCTAGAGGTTAACATACTAAGTGAAATAAGTCAAAGAAAGACAAATATCATATGATATTGCTTATATGTGGAATCTAAAAAATGATACAAATGAACTTACTTACAAAACAGTAACAGACTCACAGACATAGAAAACAAACTTGTAGTTACCAAAGGGGAAAGGGGTAGGGATGCAAATGTATAAATCAGGAGTTTGGGATTAACATATACACACTACTATGTATGAAACAGATAACCAACACAGACCTACTGTATAGCCCAGGGAATAATACTCAATATTTTGGAATAACCTATAAGGGGAAAGAATCTGAAAAAGAATACATATACATCACTATGCTCTACACCTGAAACTAAGCATTGTAAATCAACTATTACTTCAATTTAAAAAAGGAAAAAGTTAGAATTACAAAAATAATAATAATTTAGTTTGTTAAACTGAGTCTTCACAAAAAGCACATGACACTGTACATATTTTGTAGTTGAAGAAAAGGACGCAGAGAGATGAACTAGCTTTCTAAAGATCACACAGCAGAGATCATTTGAAAACACAAGTTTATCTGATATGAAAGCTTCCACAGATAAATCTGCTATACTGCAACTTTTTTTTTTAAAGAAGATATTATTTTATTGGCTAACTCTTATATTTTCAGGTATTTTCTTATACTGCTGACAAAGAAATCAGAACCGATGACTTGTGCTTGGATGTGTCTAGACTCAACGGACCTGTAATCATGTTAAAATGCCACCACATGAGAGGAAATCAGTTATGGGAGTATGATGCTGAGGTATATTATTTTCTTAATTTATTTCTTATTTAATGCTTAGACTCAGTTATGTATTTCAAATACATTTAAATCCTAAGCTATTTTTTCTCTGCATTGAAAGAATTGTATTTTCAAGCATGCATGCTCATAGCTGAAAACATTAGGATGGTATATCATATAAATAGGTTTTTGCCAAACTAGTCCATTAGTATAAAATATACATAAGGAAAATAAAGTCATTTTTATGTGCTTAAACTCTGTTATCACCATGTACATGCTCAACATAAATTAGGTAATGGACAGGCCATGCCTATCTGAGAGGTGTGTGTGTCCTGTATGAAAATGTGCATACAGGACAATATCACTAATATTCTCATATTTTCAAATTTTACATTTTACATGGTTGTAATCTGTGATATTTATGCTTCTCAACTTAAAGGAAAAAAGAAAATAGCCACAAGAATTAGCATGAATTAGTGTTCTTTACATTAGTAAATACTTTGCAGAGTTCAATGAATTAATTAGATATATAATCAGCTAAGGAGTATCTTCACAATATAGCACATTTTTCTGACAGAAGAGAGGGATAGAAAACAATGAAATTACTGTTGGGAATTTATAGCCAGGCAGTGTGTAAAAACCAGATCGACCATCAGATGGAGCTAATAAAGAAAGAAATATTTTCCTCTGCATAAGGAAGGTGCATTGAAGCAGCTGCATTTCTTTCAGTTCTCTTTGCTTAACAAAATGAATTGGTCATCTTTGCTACATTTTCCACATCATTAAATGGTCGGTGACTTATTCAAAGATAAGTAAACTTTACTCTTACAAGATAAATAATACAACAGAGATAAAAGAATTTCACAGATGCAGATGCAAGCCTATAATACTCTGCAAGAGTAACATTTTAAAAACCAACCTTCAGAGTTGTTGGTATTACTGATAGTTTAACAAGATCTTTTTAAACACTTTTTGAATGTCAATTTAATTTGCAAGATGTAGTTTCTTAAGTGGAATATCAAGAAAACACTGAATTCTAATGTGATCTGAAACTAGTTATGTAGGGTTAAAATTGGGCCCTAAAATTTATACAAGATTACCAAGCTCCTTAGACAACAAATATTTTTCTTCTGGGACATTATTAAAGACAAACACCCTGAACCCTTCCTATATTGCACCAGTCTGTTCTATTCAGACTCTTGCCTTCCTAATACGTTGTTCATCTTCTCTAACCACCAAGTTTTCTCTTCAACTGTTATCATCCATCACCATCCTTTAGGTTAAGACTGGGGATGGATGCTGTTTCCTCCAATAATATGTGTGGGTAATCCTGGACCCTGAGCTCCCTACCTCTTCAATGAGGAAACGTACAGAAAAATGTACAAATAAAGGAGAAACAATGCAAGTTTTAAAATAAAAACTTTTGTTGTTGTTGCTGTTGTTGCTCTTTAGTTTTCACTAGGAAACAAGGACTTTACTGGGCTTGTGCTAAAAAACAAAGAAATCTAGTATACATTAAAATGAAAGGGAAATGAGTATACATATTTTTTATAAGATGAAACAGAATTTCAGAATACCACATCTAATCTTTAAACTTTTCTATAATTTTTAAGTGACAACAGCTTCTATAGTCATAATTCAAATTCCTGCATATTTGAAATAACTATTTTTGGTAATTCCGTATATTTGTTTATATTTTTATCAGCCAGTAGCAAGATTACTGAATATTAGGGGATTTTGAAAGAAAAGTGGAAAAAAATAGCTAGCTTCAGCTAAGATATAGTTTTTTGTAAATTTACTATTTTGGATAACTAGTAGTTATTCTGTTGCAGTATTTTAGAGCACTGTTATGTTCTGTGGCATGTAAACATTATTTCTAAAACACACACGATAAAGCTTATGTCATAAATGTTGAGAAATGTTTATTTTTAAATAATCCAATCATCTTAATAATTATATAAGTTTAATTTACTCTATGTTTAGGTTTTCAGAATTGTGATGTTCACAACTTGTCTAAATTTTAAATCATAATGTAGATTTTTTTGCCAAATTAAAAAATGTAGAAATCATAATGTAGAGAAGACACACGAGAATAGATTATAGAAATAATGCACTGCCTTTCTGGAAATTTCAACTTTGAAAGAAAACACTGATTTTATTTGTGAAGAGGTCAGCAGAAAGACATGATATTTTAAATGAAATTGAAATACAATAATTATTTTTTATAATTACCTTTTCTTTAAGTTTAGGTTTATGATCACTTTAAGTCTACAAAAGTCTCAACAACTGCTACCCAAAGTGTAATTCTAGGACTAGTGCCATCACCTAGGAACTTGTTGGAAATCAGGAATCTGAGACCACCCTAGACACACTAAGTCAGAGTCTGTATTTTAGCAAAATCCCCAGGTCATTTATGTACATGTTAAGAGTTTAGGAAGGACAAATCTAGACAGTGGCCAAACATCTGCTTATCTTTCTTAGTCTTTTTATATGCACTACTGAAAAATATTGCAAAGTTAGGAAAAAGCATAAATATGTTTTAGAAAATGACAAGGCTTCCAGGAGAGAGAGAGGAGGGAAATGGAGCATAAGGGTGAGAGGTGCTGAGATGAGAAAGGGGAGTAATTGCCAAGCAGCTCTAATTTCATATTACAACCAGTGGAAAGTAGAAATAGCACTTGCTGTTTTTTTAATTCTTTATCTACGGCTATCAAGGGCCAATTAATTCTTCTTTGAGAAGCCTCTGAGGTGGCACACTTTCAAAGCAGAATAAGGAGTTCACAGAATTACAGAGCTGAAATTTACCTTTCAATTCTCTCCTTTTAGCCTTTATTAGGAGGAAGCTAAAGTACAAAGATTACACCACCCATGGCTGAGGCAGGATTTAGGTCCTAATGAAGTAACCAAAGAAAGCTAGTTATCAATACAATTGTGAATCTCACAGTGTGAACAACTGAAACATTCCACACCTTATCTCACATAGTCCTTTCAATCTTAAAAAAGCAAGTCATAAATGGGAGAACTGTTTAAATATCCAGAGAAAAACTGAAACAGTATTGGTACAGGAAGGGGGACCCCTTCCAGGGCCCGAGAGTGGGCTCTCGTCTAACACTCGGAAATGAATTGTCTGAGGAGACACACATGCTGACAAAGCAAGAGACTCTACTGAGAAGGGGCACCTGGGTGGAGAGCAGGAGGGTAAGGGAACCCAGGAGGACTGCTCTGCCATGTGGCTCACAGTCTCGGGTTTTATGGTGATAGGATTAGTTTCTGGGTTGTCTCTGGCCAATCATTCTGACTCAGGGTCCTTCCTGGTGGCAAGTGCATTGCTCAGCCAAGATGGATTACAGCAAGAAGGATTCTGGGAGGACATATGGACTGGTGTCTCCTGTCTCCTTTTGACCTTTCCTGAATTCTTCCGGTTGGTGGTAGCTTGTTAGTTCTATGTTCCTTACCAGGACCTCCTACTGTTAAGATAACTCACACAAGTGGTTACTATTGGGCCTGGCCAGGGTGGGTGGTTTCAGTCAGTGGTTCCCCTAATAACTCCCCCAGAGAGACTTCATACTCAAGATACTTCTTGGGAATTGGGGTAGAGGTCTCTTTCTTCTGTAACTACTTCCTGCTGAGAATAGGCATAGTCCTGCCTAGTAGAGTAGAAGTCTCTCTCCACCTGATCTAAATCAAGGTATTCTGTGCCCAAAACCAGCATTCACCCTCGTGGTAACAATTTAGCCTGAAACTCTTGGATCCTGTTGGAGATGAAACAGACAGGGGCCAAACAGGAGGTCTAACAGGATGGTCATCACCAGGCCCAGAAAAGGAAGGCAAAATCTGGGGTGAGAGCTGCAGGGTGTGTGACTTCCTTCTGATTGGTTGGTGGTGAGGTAACAGGGTGGTGGCTCCAGGAACCTTGTGCTCAGCCTGAAATTACCATCCTCTCTACCTGGGTGGGGGCCTTAGTTCCTGCAGAAAAACTCAAAGATGTTCTTATGCATACTCCTTAGGAGGAACCAGGACCCTGCCCCAAGGCTGTACCACCATTTGACGGCTCCTCCCCTGTTTTTGCATCCCCTCCCTTCCCTGATTAACAACTGTTTGAATCTGCCCTTTGGAGCTCAGGGAAGGTCTGGGAGGCTGAATGAAGTCTATATCCTATAAACAGGAAACAGGGGACACAGAAAGGATTTGTATTCCAGAGCCCCACAGAGTCCTATCAGTTTTAATTCAGGAAACTGGGTGATGACAGCTCTGGCCACTTCCTGCTAAAATGGGGCATAGTCCTGCCTCAATTTGGAAAACAGACATTGAATTGGAAATATTTCTGAGTTCCAAGTCCTGGATCTGAGTCTTGTATGATTCAAATCTCAGCCCCTGGATCTGCCATTTTTGTGTAACAGACCAAATTAGAAGTAGTTGGAAGAGTGACAACTGGAATTTTAATAGGCAAAATAAATCTCATTTCTTTTCAGGAGAATAAGCCTGAAACCCAGTCTGGACCAGGCACTTTGGAGAGACTTGTAGCCATGTAGCCAGTTGTCTAGTTTTATCTAAGTAGGTTTTAACTTTTAATGTGGTGTTAACACATAGATAACAGGTGCTACTGGTCACCATACATGTCTCTTTTTGTTAATGTATGATCTAAAACAATTCCATTGTCTAAAATGTAATAGTTACAAGAGGAGACCTTTAAAAAGTAAGGTTGCAGTTACCAGCTGCCAGCAGACATTGTTTTGAGGATGGCTGGTAGCATCCAATTCTGAGACAGCTCAGAAAACTCAAGTTCTTAGCAATACAAGGACTTGTCTGAAATCACACCCATAGTGTCACCTAGTTATTTCATTGGATATCTGAACCACAGCTACTCCATTTTGACTTTTAATTGTAATACTATCCTTAATAAAGCAGATGTCACTGTTAACGATGTTAGTATTTCTCTAGATATGGGAAGATATAAGAATTTGGGCTCATAAAATCTCCTGAAAGCATTTAACTATCTAAAGGCCTGTTCTGTCAGTTTT